CCAGAGGTGGTCGAGGACCCCTGCTGCATACCTGAGCTCCAGGACTCAAGCTGGGACACCTGAGGGCACAGAACGGACAGCACCATCAGAAAATCACAACCCGCACCCTTGTGCTGACATTGTGGGACCAGGAGGTAGGAGTATAAATCTTGTGTTGATGCCTCACCCAGAGAAGACGATGTGACATCTGTCTCATGCGACACACGTAGACACTTTGTAAATGTCCCACTGATGGCCACACAGTCAAGGAGCATTGTAAGATGTGCAAGGACAACCAGACAGAAGCCCCTTGGCCACCTGGCTAGTCTCCATGGAGACGCACCCACTACAGACAGGGACAGCCTCTGCCAGCCTCACATACACAAGGGGGAGGGCCCAGAAGGTATCCTGTGTCCGGGAGCAACAGCCTGTCCCCATGGGCTGTGACCTGGCTACTGATGAGCCACTGATGTGTGACACCGACCAGCTGGGGGACGTCAGTGTGACTGGGGAAATTAAGAAGGTTGGCTACAAAAGATTAGAAAAAATAATGAATGGTAGATTAGGAGGAGAATGACTTCTATCGGGAATTGCCTCCCATCAGATCCTTGTTTCCTGATGTAGGAAATCCATTTGCAAGCTAGGGAGCCTGGACAGAGGTGCTTTCATTCATTTTCAGTCCAAGTGCCTGAGAACCAAGACAAATGTGATGTGAATTTCAGCATTGGGAAGAGAAGGAGGTCAAATTACCAAGCCCCAATAGTGAGACTAGGAGAAATGATAAATTTCTCCTTCCCCTACCTTGTCCAATCAAAGGCTCACAGGCTGGAGATTGTCCTCCCAGTTGACTTTACTGAGTCCACTGGTACAAACGCTAGTCTCGAGCAGGACACTGGCACAGACGCTGAACAATCCTGGTGAGTCCAGGCGCTGCAGGCCCACTCTCGCTCACATCACAGTGACTCTTCCTCCTGCGGCGCTGGGGCTGGATCCTGGCCAGAACATGTCACGTTCAGAACTAAATGTGGGAAAGTTCTGGTGGAATGGACAGAGTTATCATGGCCCGGTGCTCTGGGGCTGAAACCTACCTTCATTCAGATGTTTGACTGTTCTTGGTCAAACTACATGTCTACATGTGAATGTGTCATTATGATGAATTGTAACAGGTGCTCCAGCAAGAAGTGGGATTGGCTCAGGATGAGTAAAAAAAATGTTGGGGATTCCTGAGGAAGTGGGCATGCCCACCAGCTCTCTAGTCCCTTGGAGGAAAAAGGATCCTTTTGGGAAACAGCCCTTCCTAGAGGGAAAGGAATCCAGCATGGAGAGGGAAGATTACACACACGACAGATGCAGCTAAACCTCCCCTGTTCAGTTTCTCTGGATATAGGGTCACCTAGAGGGATATTAAAAGAAAAGGTCCATGTGGTTAATCCTCAGGTCTCAGCAACATATTCCCCTTCCTCAGCTCCTCTTCTCTCAGCAGCAATGTGCAGAAGAGTAAGCACCAAGAAAGGCCGCACTGACAGCAGCGCAGACCCGAGTGAAGAAGGAGATGTCGTGCTGGACAACTGAGTCCAGGCTGGGCTGCACAGGCATAAGAGACCAGAGCATGTAAAGTGAGGATATACTTGAAAACTGGGAAAACTGGCCCCAATATGTGTCTCCCTGTCTCTTCTAGTTTAGTTAATGGGAAAAGTTGCATATTCTGGGACTTGGACCCAGAGAAGAAGAAAAAGCTGCTTTTATTGTGAAACAATAGACCAGAGGATACTTTCACTGAACGCTGGGGAGGACAATGGAGCTGCTGTGGGAACCATGTTCTGAAGACCCTTGTGTGATGTCCCCTCTACACAGGCTGCTGAGGCATCTTCAGAACAAGGAGGGATTTGTGAACAAGGGCACGTTCTGGTCTCACTTCCCCGTGAGCTTGCATCCTGTGGAAGGTGCCAGGCCTCCTAAATGAGGGACAGTGATGATCAGCCTCTTCCTCAGGTGGAGCCACTGAGAGTCAGGGATGATCGTTACCAGAGAAGTGATCAGGGATCCCTGGGGGCAGAGTCCTGACAGCAGAGATAAGGAGACTGGGCTCATTCCAGACACTGTACACCACATGTGTGATAACCGATGTCACTTCCAACAAGAGAGATGTTCAGTGAGTGTCCCAGAGTCTGGACATTGCGGGAGGCTCCAACAGGAGAGACTGGGACCGGGAAACTGGAAAGAGGGAAACAAACTCAGGGATGCTCAGTGCTGGGACCATTTGAGCCTGGGGTGGAAGAGAAATTGTCAGCACTCATGTCCTTGGGGTCACTTCCTGGGGGTCTCGCTTGTCCCCTGAGTGAAGAGGGAGTGGAGAGAGGAGCACAGATCATGATGGATATAACCCAGGACATAGGCCTGACTTCCCCAAAATTCTACTCATCTTACCCCGTCTCAGAGGGGAGTACTCACTTCTGCTCATCCCAAAATGACTTGTTCCTACACCCTAGTCCTTCATCGAAGGATGGTAGAGCTCAACTGAAGTGCTGGCCCTCTGATCTCTACTTTCTGAGTCAGGACAGACTGAGCCTGTGGCAGTGCCAGACACCATGGGGGTGTCCCTGTGCTTCCACCACAGACTCATGACAGCTCCTGACGGAGGATCTGGGACAATTTCATGCTCTGAAGAGTGTAGAAAACACAGGGCTCAAGGCTGTCCGAGGAGCTCCAATGACTCATTTTCTGATGCTGATACCCAAGGGTGATTACTTCTTATTTCTCTTCAGCTCTCCCTCGTTCTTCTCAAAAGCCTCTATGCCCCATGTGTGTGCAGTGGGCTGACACTGTGACCTGAGACTGAGACCTGGTTCATTGTTTGTTTCATAAAGAAAGAACTGTTGGGGAACAAAAGAATTTTGACCCTATTTCTTAATGATAACGGGGGCTGCTGAGAGAAGCAGCGCCTGAACTGAATCTGGTCCATTGACCAAACCAATAATCTCCTCCAACTCAGGCTTTTGCGTGCCCCAGTGGCCCAGGAGGTGTAACACAATCAGTAGGGAAGACAGTTGAGTGGAGTTGATCAGTTTTGTCCTTTCTCCTTCTGTCACTATTCTCTTTCCTGTTCAATACAGAATGCTGTTTCTCTCGAATCCTTTTTCCCTTTATCTTTTCCTGACTGAAATGCGTCCTGCCATACTGGGGTTTCAATACAGCACTTCACGATCATTCTACCTGACCCAGGAGGTGTTTCTTCCTGAGTGTGTGGCCTTGAGGGTTTCTCAAGTCAGTAATGAAGAGACAAAGGTTGGGAAATAAAATGAAGTTGCAATGTTCCATCAAAAAAAAAAATAGAGTTACGAAGAGGAGACCAAAGAAGATTATTTCCTTAAATGGTAAAAGAATATATACTGCAAGGTAAGAGGGAGCTTGGATTTAAATGACCCAATGGGGAGCATGAGATGAACTCCAGGTTTGGAGGATGTGGAGGGAGGGGCTGGAGTGAGGCGGTGCTGTCCTAGCACCAGTCCTAGGGACCATCATTTCAATTCTGTCTGTCAAATGGGACATTTGTTGTGCTGACTGCAAGTAATTATTATGTTTGTGGACATTTTCTAGACCCTCTTTCTCTTTTATGCCTTAATATTTGTTACCAAAATGTCAGCTGAAGAATATTGTTCCCTGAATATTCGTCACATTTCTCTACACTCTTCAGTCCCCATATCACAAATCTCAGTAGTAGGAGTAGACTCACTCTGGACATTGTGGGTGAAATTGAATGAAAATATAATCATGTTTGTTGCATATTAACTCCAAACAAGTTTTAATGTGTATATTCCTGTGTTGTATTATATGTAATATAGCAAAGAACGGGAAATAGAGAAAAACACAAATTTTTAGCAAGAATGAAACATGGTAAGTGTCAGCTGCCTTTGGCCTGAAGAAGTCCAGCCCTGGGCCTCCCTGGTGGTATACGGTTAAAGTCCCAGTGCTATCAAGCATTTCCAGCCACTCCAGCACCAGTTCAATCCCCAGCCAGGGAGCTAACACACATGTCACAGCAGACCTCTGCTTTCTCACCCGCTGCTCCTCTCAGCAGTGTATTTCAGTACATCCACCTGTTCTGCTCCGCCGGCTTTCTCTGGTGAATCCTCTTACTCCACACACCCACCTCTGGTCTATACCCCATTCTTGTATGCATAAATTAATAAAAAATATTTTAAAAATTAAAAAAGGAAGTCCAATCTCAACTCCACAGATGCTCCACCATGAAGTGTCATATGTTAATCTCGTTGCCAATACTGGACCTGCACCTCCCTGTGCCAAGCTGAAGGCTCCACAGTCAACAGGAACAAAGACTGTGGAGGATCCGGCTCACTCATGCTCTAGCTACAGTTTCCTTCCCACTGCTCACTGTTAAGAACCATACTAGTCACCTTTAAGAAAAACTGGAACCTTTTTAAGGCAGAGACACATGAGAGGTTTTGCACTCTCCAAGCTCTTTGAAAAATTAAGATACTTGGACAGATTCCCAGACATTCTAGAACAGTCATGTGTGGTAACTGGAACAGGGTTGCAGAAAATGACATTCTTTCTCCACAAAGACTCACATCCTGTCGGCAGAAAAGACCGGCAGCAGCACCACACTGACACGTGGCTGGGACAAGGGACATGTTCCAGCATCCCAAGTAGCAGAGAACCGGCTCCACAGAGGAGAACAGCCTGAGCTCTAGGCCACGATTCTCCCGTCACTGAAGAAATGGAAAGTGGAGTACATTCTAGGATAAGTCATAAATGTAGAGAAAAAAAAATCATTGCACCCTGAAAATAAGACAGCATCATTGTGGATTTTACTAAGGAGAAGAGAGAAGCTAAGAGAGAACTGAATTGTCAAGGCCACGTGCATGAAGACTCATCTGCACGGGGTGGGGGAAGCATTTTCTGTGCAACAGAGAGGCCATGAGCACAGGGCAGGTTCTTGTCTCACTTCCCCATGAACTTGCACCACTGTGGTAAGTATAACCAGTCCTGATTGAGCCACTTTAATACTCAGCCTCATCCTCAGGCTTGAGACCAGAGATGGTCAAGGTGGCCGTGTTGCCTGACTTGGAGCCAGAGAAGCGATCAGGGATCCCTGAGGGCCGGGAACTGACACCATAAATCAGGAGCTTGGGTGTCTTGCCAGGGAGCTGCTGGAGCCAGGAGACAGAGTTATAACGCCCAATGTCATTGCTGGTCCCAGCACAGGAGATGGTGACTGACTGTCCCAGAGCCCCAGACACTGAGGAAGGCTGAGTCAGAGCAGACTGGCCCCAGGAACCTGAAAAGAGGAAAAACACACACAGGTGAGTTCAGTCTGGGCCCAGGTGAGCCTGAGCAGAGATAAGGGTCAGCCGTGATGTGTTCATCACCCCTTCCCTGGAGGCCTCACCTGTGGCCTGAGTGAGGAGGGTGAGGAGGAGCACAGTCCAGGCCATGGTGGAGACAAGCTAAGGTCTCTGTCTTCTGATGCCCCAACCTAGGCCTGGATCACTCAGATGTCTCTTATCCCCTCCCCCTGCCTAAGAGGAGGAAGAGGGTCTCTATGCAAATCTGCTTCCTGCTTCTTAGATTCAAGTGCCTGGTCACAGATGAGATCTTTTGAACTTTCTTGCCTTTTCTTCTATTTCACTTCCACAGCCAAGATAAACCGACCTTCCCAAACCTGGACATGCCATTACAACACCTTTGTGATAATATATCTCCCTCTCTTTTTAAAATTTCTAAGACTGGGCCTCCTTGGTGGCAGCAACAGTTTCACCCTTTTCCTTTTGTATTCCAGGGTCTGAGCTCAAAAGAGCACAACATATTTGGGACATCTGAGTCTGCTTCTTCCTAGGAAAAACTCAGCGGTAAAGAGTTTCATTATACTGCCCCCTGTGTGGATAAATTACATGCAATCTGGATAAATCACAGCAATGAAGGTTCCTCCACACAGGCCCCTGCTGCCCCCTGGTGGCCACAGATGGTGCAGCCCAAGACCCATGGATGCAGAGCCTGGGAGCTGGAAATTCCTGCCCTGTCCTCTCTCAGCTACTGGCCCTTCCCTGCAGTTGTAACAGACTCTACTTCCTAGAGCGCTCCAAGTCATTCTCTCTTTTCCACTAGCTTTTGGAAAAAACAAGTAAACAAAAAGTACAAAAGAATGTTTGATTTCTGAAATTAGCCCACCTGAAAAAGAAGCACACAGGAAATATCTATGGAAAGGGCAAAGTATACTAGAAAACTGGTTAAAAAAAAAAAAAAGCTATAATGTAAATAATCATACTTTAAAAATCAACCCACCTGGTTGGAAAATTACCAGGTTAATAGAAAGTATAATTATCAAGTTATTATATCAAGCATATAATATAGCTATCAAGTTTCAAATCATCACACCTAAGAACACAACTTCTTGTCATATGATGATAAAACTGATACGCTGAAATGAGACATGGAAAAATCTACAAATCTATAATGAGATTTCATTATTTCATTCCATTACTCTCAGTCAAGGAAGATCAATTATACAGAAATTAATATGACATGAAAGTATTCAGCACTATCATGATCCAAGTTAACAAAATTGACATTAATGAAGTGTCATTAAAAATCATAGCAAAATCCATGCCGTTACTGTTTCATAAGAATAGTCATCAAAGTAAGAAATATCTTGAATAATAAAATGAATTCTATTTTTTGTAACAATGACAATCTTACAAAATATATTCTCAGACCATTATGAAATTAATCTGAGTGTCAATGGAAGAAAATATCTGGAATTTTTCTATACTCCTAGTGTTTTTAGTTCAATTGCATCTCAAAAACACTAACAAAATAGGCAAACCGCCAAACAGGTAATGAGACCTTGTTGGGAAATGTGTAATCAAATTAAGGTGATGTAACACTTCATTAGGGTGGACCCTAATCCACTATAACTGTTACAGGGCAACCCTGATATAAAAACGGGTTGTCTGACTGTGGGTCCTCACCCGCGCGCTTAAAAGGGCCTTACTAATACTTAACTGCAGGCACACACCTAAGGTGAATAAAAGGTTTGTTTACAAGGGAAGGGGAAATGAGGAAATGTACAACTTAGGGAGAAAAGAGGGAGATAAAGTCCTCACTGCGTCCTACCCGTTCCGCCAACATGGAATCCCAAATGGCACTCTGAGAGCTGGCGGTGAGCCAAGAGCCTTGAAGCCAAGAAAGAGACCCCAAGGCCCACAATTTGGTTTTATACCAAACCTGGCTGCTTAACTCCACCCTCAGGTCCCAGCCACCTTCCCTTTGGTGGTGACGGGATTTGTCTTTCCCAGTGTCCTGAGGGCTTTGGTCTGGAGTGGGGGTGGAGTCCACAAAGCCTGCATGGAATTAGCTCAGGACAACCTTCCCCCTAACAACACCAGTGTCCTAATAAGGAGAAAAGATGAAACACAAACAAGCAGGAGAGATAATGCCACCGGGAGTCCACGACAGATTGAACAGTGAGTGTTTTAAATCAAGGACTTTGTAGGAATTGCCCACAGTCACCTGGTTAGGAAGGAGCAAGGATCCTTCCCCCTTTTAAACCGAGGGAGTATAACTCTACAGTTAGGTTCATATTTGACTTGTTAATCTGCAGAATTGGGAGACAATACATTTCTATTATTTTAGGACAGTTTAGGTCATTTGATATGACATCTAGGACACTAATGCAACTTAAAAATTTAATAAAGGGCATTTAGGGCCTCCCCGGAGGTGCTGCAGTTGAGCACTGGGTTGCGAAGCTTCCCGCAGCCTATGCGGTGCAAGCTCAATCCCTGGCTGCTCCAGGCCACCAGACTAGGGTCCCGCATGTCGCAAAGATCTCTCCTGCTGCCCGCTGCTCCCCTCAGCAGTGTACTTCGGTCCTTCTGCCTGCTCTGCTCCCCGCTCTGGCTCTGGTGAATTCTCTCACCTTCCCGCGCTTCTGACTGTACCCAGTGCTTGTATAAATAAATAAATATATCTTAAAAAAAAAAAAAGTAGGGGTACTATAAATTCAGTATTGACAGGGAAATTTATAGCTGAATTCCATATCAAAAACATAGGAAGGAAAGGACAAAGACAAACACAAAGCAAACAGAAGGAAGAAAATCCTACAAATAATAAAAATAAGACTACTCATCAATGAAATTGAAACTCCTTATCTGGACTTTTTTTTTTTAAGGATTTATTTATTTTTATAAGAGCTGGGATACAGGTCAGAGGCGTGGAAAGGTGAGAGAATTCACCAGAGACATAGTGGGGAGCAGAGCAGGCAGTTGGACCGAAGACACTGCTGAGAGGAGCAGTGGGCGAGACAGGAGAGGTCTGCTGCTCCATGTGGGTTTCTCCCAGGCCTGCCGGGAATCGAACCCATGCTAGAGGCTATGGAAAGCTTCAGAGCTTCACAGCTTCAGAGCTTCGCAGCTTCACAGCTTCACAGTGCAGCGTTCAACCCGATGCACCACCGGCGATGTCTCCATATTTGGACTTTTCAGGCATGATGTGGTCTCTCTGCAGCCACAACTGCCCACTCTACTTCCTCACTGCCTCAGTAGAGCATTCCCCAGCCGCTCTGTTCCTTATATCGTCCATATTTTCTCTGTCACAGTGACATTGTGCAAGCTTTTACTCCCGATGAAATTCTCATTTTTCTCCAATGTTGCATGTCTGGTCTGTTGAAGACTCAGTAGTGGACCCCAATATCCCACTCTCTGATGTTTGCTTGTTGAGCGAATCAAGGGGCAAGCTCAGGTTGGGGAGCTGAGCCACTTCATTTGTCTCAAAGACTCCAAAGCACATTCAGGGATGTTAGAGATAGTTGTCACCTTTGTTTCTGAGGTGAGTATATTTAAATTGAAATAAGCTTTCATGCAGTTTCCACCTGAGTCTTCCTCTCCCAACCCTAAATGTCACATTTTTTTACTTCTCTCTCTCCCTCTTTGTCTCTCTCTCTCTCCCTTTTCAATCTGCCCTCCATCCTAAACTCTCCCTCTCCAAACACCCCTCACTCCAATCACACAACTTTACAGCAGAGAAGGCAATCAGAGTTTGATGTTCCCTCAAGAATCCTTTGCTGGAGCACAAGATTCCTGATGCCAAGACAGGAGAGGGTTTACCCTGCCTGCATCTGAGTGACAAGGAGAGGAGGGGATCCCAGCAGAGCAGAGAAATAGCTAATCCCTCCTTTCCCAGGGACAGAAGACAAGGGCCAGGACCCAGCATGCTATTCTGTGTCCGGGAGCAGCGGCCCATCCTCACTGTGCTGTGACCCGGATACTGATGGCCATGATGTGTGATACCACCCAGCCTGTGGGAGTTCAGTGAAGGTACTGGTTGTTGACTGGGGAAATAAGAAGAGGGCAGCACAAGGTTCGAAAAATAATTACTGGTGGAAAATCAGGAGATTGACTTCTCGTCAGGAATTGCCTCTCACCAGATCCCATCTGAGGATATGACCTGGGAAATCCCATCAGCTGCCATGTGCAAGCTAGGAGCCTGGACAGGGGGCATTTTCATTCATTTCCAGTTCTAATGCCTGAGGACAAGGGCACATGTGATGTGAATTTCAGCACTGGGCAGAGAATGAGGTAAAATGATCCAGCTCAGCTGTGAGACAAGGGAAAGAGATGAATTGTTAGAAACGCGAGTCTTGGACAGGACACTGGCACAGACGCAGAACATAAGGTGAGTCCAGGCGCTGCAGGCCCACTCTCGCTGACATCACAGTGATTCTTCCTCCTGAGGCGCTGGGGCTAGGTCCTGGCCAGAACAGTCATGTTCAGATTTAAAACTGAGAAAGTTCTGGTGAGGTGGAAACATTGGTCTCATGCAGGGCTCTGGGCTGAAACCTACCTTCATTTATATACTTGAACATTCCAAGTCAAATCATGTCTACGTCTAAACGTGTCTTTATGAAGATTTGTAACAGGCGCTCCAGCAAGAACTGGAATTACCTCATGCAAATGAGGACTCATGCCTCCTGCCTCCCCAGAAATGTTGGGGATTCCTGAGGAAGGGGACATGCCCACCAGGAATCTTCCCTTGGAGGAGAAAGGAGCCTTTTGTGAAACAGCCTTCACGAGTAAGGAGTCAGCATGCTGCGGGATACTTCAGGAAAGGAATCCATGGATGGAAGGGGAGGATCCCACACATCGCAGATGCAACTAAATTTCTTTCCTGTTCGGTTTCTTTGGATAAGGGGTCACGTAGAGATATATTAAAGGAAAAGGTCCATGTACTTTATCCTCAGTCCTCAGCTGCTCCTCTTTTTTATTTATTACATATATACTATATTTGCATATTTATTTCTATTTATTATTTTCGTGCATCATTGCTCGTGTTTGCACAGCATTGGTTTCTCTGCTCAGGTGATCTCCCTGAAGTTCTCCTACAACATCTGACTGTGGCCATCACCATAGTCCCTTTTACTCTTCCCCCACCTATTTTGACA